CTGGCCCCAGCCCCAGGCCCCCATACCTGTGCCTACCCACCCAGCTGCTCCACAACTTTGTCCCCTTGCCCACCTGGCAGTGCTGGACTGGGATGCTCCAGGAGGACCAGCACGTGAGCAGCCACTCATGCCCGCTGTGCCTCAGCACCCCATGCACTGCAGTCCCCCAAGGGACCAGGGGGCTCCACTTGCCCGGACACCTACCAGGCACTGAACTCCGCTCTGTACACACAGGAGGTGCCACACACCTGGAGGAACTTGCTGGCCCTCTCAGGCTGGTCACCTGGAAGAGTAGCTTGGGGGGTGTCCAGGTCATCACACAGGTTGATGACATCTGGAAAGGCCAGGGTGGGGGTTGTGGGCTGCTGGCATGGTGAGCCGGGGACCTCACACCAAAAAAAAAGTGGGGAGCCTGTGCAGCATCCCACTGGAGATGGGACAAAGGACTGGTGCTGCTGCTAAGGTGGGGGGTGAGCTGCAGCCTCCCTGCTAGGGCTCACTGGTGTCAGGGACCCTCACCATCCTCCTCACGTAGGAGAGCAGCTGCAGGCTGGAGTAGTTGGTGTTGGCCAGAAAGTTCTGGTCATCTGCAGAGACAGCAGCAGTGGCCAAGGGCAGCAGGCGGCCCTGGCAGCAGCTGCAGAGCCTAGAGGCTGAGCCCACCCCACCACCCAGTGAGGCCATGGTGCGTCCCCCTTGTGCTCCCTGGCCAGGAGGGAATTAAACCCCCATGCTTGGTGCAGATGAACATGCTGCCGCTGTGAGCCTGGGACAGCGGGGCTAGGACAGTGAGGCTGGGACCACGGGGCTGGGACAGTGGGGCTGGGACTGTGGGGCTGGGATGGTGGGGCTCAGACTGTGGGACTGGACCCCACCATGCAGCGTTGGTGAGGTCAGAGGTGGGCGAGGCACAAAGCTCCTTCGGCGCTTCCCCTGGACCCCGCGAGACAAGACCAGCCAAGCGCCCAGAACAGCAGAGATTTATTGCAGTGGGAAACCGAGGGCCCAGGTGAAGGAGTGGTGGGGCCCTGAGGGTACAGCCAGGCTCACCCTGTGGCCCAGGGGCAGGAGCCCTTGGGGTTGGGGGTGACACAGTGGCTTGGCCTCTCTGGGCCTTGGAGGTCTTCAGTGTCCCCGTCAGTCAGCTAGTGGCTCCTGCATGCAGCGGGGCTTGTGGTGGGATGTCACCCTGCTCTCTGGGACGTCCCAAGGAAAGGGCAGGTGTGCAGTGCACCCAGTATGTTGCAACGCACCCAGAGCAGCACCCAGTGCACCCGATGAGTCCCACAGAGCATCCAGTGCAACAGCATACCCAGGGTGCTACACACTGCACCCCAAGCACTGCCCAGCACTGCCCAGCACATCCAGCGCACCATGCTCAGCTCACACCCTGCAACACACCCAGCACCCTGCAGTGCAGTACAGCTGGCAGGGC